GTAACCCTGTTATCAATTTTTATTCTTGTACCTACATTGAGAGAATCTAGCTAAGATTATATAGGAATAGCCCAAATTTTAGTCAGAAGAAAAACCCTTTCTTCACTGATTTCTATACTTTCATAGAGATTAAAAAGAAAAAAAAAAGATTGCACTTTTATGATATTCGAGGGGAGAACATAGAAGAAAAGATTCGAGCTTTATTTTCATTTTTACCGTAATTTAATCTGAATTGTTTTGTCCATAGGCTTTTGCTCGTCTACCCGTGTTTGTGGGTGCTTTTTGTTTGATCCAATGGCTGCTGGTGCTGAGGTTTCTATTGAGAGCCCAGTTGTTGCTAAGACCATTACTGATGAGAAAATTGATAATTTTGATTCTGTCGAGTCGAGGGAAAATGATGTGACTGATAATGGTCTTAAGTGTTCTGATTCGAACCCAAACTCCGGTATACAAATGAAAGGAATTGTTGATATGCTGCAGAAGCTCAAGTTGAACCCCATGGCCAAGGAGTTTTTCCCATCCTCCTACCATCAGGGCCAAATGGGGGCTCAAAATTTTGTGCCTAGTGAAATTTTTTTAGGAAATGATGGTTTTTCGAACAATCGAAAGGTATAAATTATGTTTTTTTTTTCGAGTTGGTTGATTGGTCTGTTTGATTTATTGTTTGGGGTTTAACTTATGTTGTAGAGCTTGAAGATTATGAAATTCATTCTTTTTCTGAGTTTGCTTGCTTGATTATGAATTGAATCGCTCAGTTTTTAGTGTTGAATTAATTTGGTGCTTGATGTTTTTGAGAAAGAATGGGAATTTGTTTACATCTGTTTGCTTGGTGGAATGAATGTTGGAATGAAGTTGTTGTCCCTTTTAGTGGATATAAACTGAGGGGTGCGATTTTATAGTTCTGTTTTGTTAAGTTTCTATTAAGGTTTTGCGTTTTGTTTTGTTTCCTCTCTTTACGTTTGGATTCGTGATGGTAATAATATACATTGTTTGTTGATCGATTACGAGAATTTGAATTATTGTTTCTCGTTTGTGCTTGAGGAAAAAATCCTTTTGGGAGATGAAAAAAAGTCATCTATTGTATTGTTTTACTTATATAAATGCACTTACATCAGGGTTTACTGACTCAATTTTCTGATGTTGTATATTAATGCTCTTACGTGTGTGAATCTCAATATTGATCTATGTTAGAATCACCGATTATGTAAATTTCCATTTATTTGGGAGTCTTAATTGGTAATCTGATTTATTGGTACGTGGCAATGTTATATGACTTCAAATATTGTTTTAAAAGCTTGTTAATGTAGTTTTAAACTGTTCTTTTTTCACTTTTTCCACAGAGAAGGATCAACTACAACCAAGTTAAGAATAGAATGGGTGGCAGAGCTTCTAGAGCTCAGAGAGAAGATAGTATTAGACGAACTGTCTATGTTTCTGACATTGATCACAATGTACGTGAACTGTGAGAAATTTGGCCATATATTACAATATTCTTGAATATAAATTAATATATATATATTTTTTACTTTTATTGGTCAAAACTAGATCACCGAGGAGCAGCTAGCTGCATTATTCAGTGGCTATGGACTGGTAAGTTATTCTACCGCGTCTTTCATGAATGTAAAAGGAAATAAAATGAATTTGCGGTATCTATCATTTGAAGAATGACTAAAGTTTTTTACCAATATGGATATCCCTCAGGATTTGTTTCTATAATTATGTATATATGTTATTCGTGAACTTACAATGTACTTTCATTAGATATTTTAGGAGACATTGATATAGCCTTGAAATATCTCGTTTTTATTTATTGTCGATTTACCTTTTCAGGTTGTTGACTGTAGAGTTTGTGGAGATCCACACTCCCATCTTCGCTTTGCTTTTGTGGAATTTGCCGATGACTGTACGTACACCTTTATTTTTGTCATCTTTCTTTATNCTTCTCTTCTTTTTCTTTCTTTGGTTGGCATTAATATGCTTATCAGTGGCTGCATCATATCAATATATTATGTGATTATGGCAACAGATTCTGCTAGAGCTGCCCTTAATCTTAATGGGACACTTTTGGGTTTCTCCCCTGTGAAAGTTTTGCCTTCCAAAACTGCTATTTTACCTGTGAACCCGACTTTTCTTCCCAGGGTAAGAAGTAATCATTTAAAGCTGTTAAATGTTTTATTTCTTATTTTTATCATTTTTTTGAACTTTTAATCCCTCAACAAAGTAACATTTTCTCACGTGCCTTGCTTTTCACATGCTTATATGTGGACTGATTTAATTCTGTATCTTTTAACTCCAAATTTTGGATATTACAGTCAGAGGATGAACGTGAGATGTGCGCCAGGACAGTTTACTGCACAAACATTGATAAGAAGGTATAGATAGCATCTTATTCTTTCATTCACTTTTTATTTGATTTTTTTTGGATAATACGTGTAGCTACTTTCACTCAAAGGGTTTAGTATTCAATATCGAGACTTAGCCTAATATCCAAGATTCTGAGAATGAGCGGTAAAAAGATGGTTCCAAGATTTAGTAGCCTAATTACCAAGTTTTAATTAATGTTTCACAGGTCCGACAATGGTTATAAAATGTAAGTTTTTATCTAATATTTAAAGTAATGAAACGATATAAAATTTGATGAAGTAAAGATTTAACAAATCGTTAAGTAATCAAAAGACTAGAGGCTTTGTTTTATAAGACAAAAGGCTAATAATATATGACTATCATCGATACACGGATATATTTCTGCATGAATATTTAAGTATGCATCTTTTGTTAACATACTTCACATATATTAAAGTTCAAATAGGCAAAATTGCAATTTTAGTCCAGTTGGTTTGATCTGGTGGCGCTTTTGTTATGAGACTGAACATTTTGCTATTTGGTCCTATGATTTGAAAACTCAACGCAATTTCAGTTCTCAAAATTTTAAATTACATGACTTAAATTGCTAATAAATAATCTTTGGGATGGATTTTTTATTAGCAATTTAAGTCTAATTTTAAAGTTTGTTGCATTTTCAGTTTGTGGCAAAATGACCAAAAGCGAAAAATTGGAATCTTGGGACTAAAAATGTTATGACGATAAACACTAAAAATGCAATTTTTCCGGTTCAAGTATACACTAAAAGATAGCTACCATCTTCTGTAATTAGACTAAAACTCAGGGGTGGAAAAAAAAAGGAAAAAGAAAAAGAAAAAATGTTTGACATTAAAGTTGATTACCATTACAACAAGTGCACTTGATATTTCTGAGCAGGTTACTCAAGCTGATGTGAAGAGTTTCTTCGAAACAAGATGTGGGGAGGTATTTATTAAAGTTCCGTAATAGTTTTTGAAAATATTTTGCAGATTATCGACTATTCGACTTTCTATTGTACGATGAGGGAGTGAATTTCTTCATTGTGTAGGTCTCACGCTTGCGGCTCCTTGGGGATCAAGTGCACTCCACAAGGATCGCTTTTGTAGAATTCTTCATGGTATGTTGCTTTTTTTCTGACTGTAATTGCCACTCAATTGTCATATTATTAATGTTTTGGAAAAAGAAAAAAGAAAAGAAAGAAGGGTCGTGTATGAAAATTACCGTAATTTTCAAAGGGAGGGTAATTACAGAAAACATATTGCTCTGTTGTTCGGGATCTCTTTGCTTTTGTAAGACATAAAACGTATCTCGGGCTCTATTGTAATTTTCGAAGATGAGAAAGTTGTTTCGGTAAGTAGATGAAATCTCATGGTATATACATATATATATATATATATTTTTTTTTTATAAATTTGCACAAACAATGGCATGTGATTCTCTGCTGATTTAAGCAACTAAACAAGACCCCCAAAAAATAAAAAAGTGAATTTTGTAAGACTCCATACATCTATATTCAGATTCGGCTTCAGTTATTTCCTTCAATTAATACGAATTTTACTTTTGTTTAGTACATGAAAAGCCTAGAGTTTCAATTTCTTGAAAAACAAATTTTCAGGCCGAGAGTGCAATAGTGGCCCTCGATTGTTGTGGTGAAGTTCTGGGATCCCAACGCATCAGGTCCGGTTAATCCGAGTTATCAAAGTTCTTTTGTTCTTTTTTCTTTTTTTTTTTGGTTATTATTATTATTATTATTATTATTATTATTATTATTAT